GGAGCCCGATGTGGGACTCGATCCCGGGACTCCAGGATCATGATCTGAGCCGAAGGCAGTCGCTTAACCAACTGAGCCACCCAGGCGCCCCTATGAAACATATTTTAAATAAAATATCCTTTTTATGAGATCAATGGTTGGTTTAAGGACCATGAAGATTTGAGCCTCTCGAGTATAGTTGTTCCTTTTGAAATTTTGTAGTCATACTGAGGCATGTAAATGACAGGGATCCCTTCCTGAATGTGTTAAAAAGTTCAGAATCAAATGGGTGGCCCACTTAGGTAAGTGTCTTAGGTCTCTAAAAATGTGTATAATTATAGGCATCATCTTAATTTTCTTCCTTTTGTTTTCTTTTTGTTTCAATTGCCTCCCTCTCATTAAAAAAAAATCATGATACTACATGTCTCTTGTAAGGTACTTCAACTTGGCTTTTGGAAAAGATGGAAAATAATTTATAACACATTAGTCAATGTCAGTGCCCATATGGCTCAATGAGAATAATGAGGAGAAAAAGAAACAGAATGTTCTTCCAAAAGTACACTTTTACTTTTATGTAGTAACTCTATGGTTATAGCTAAATTTAGTCATCAAATTAGATGCAAAAGTAAACATGTTTGTTTATATGTTGATGTACTTGTTTAATCTTTTCTATATAAATGATATGGCTTGGAATTTAAATCCAAAGCTGTCAGAAAGTGCCATTATTAATCATGATTTAGACAGATTCCAAGGATGTGGTACACATAGATAATTATATAATATCTGATAATGATAATGCTGCCATTTTTTAAAGAAAACAAAATATTTTCTGAACCCTATTTGTAAAAACAAAAATATGAAATTACTTAGTCTAGCTAAAAAGATGCTTAAAGAACCATCTAATAGTATTCAAGCCTACAAAATAAAATACATCTAGAAAAGGAAATAATTGTTTTCCATATATACTGAGAATTAAACATTCTCTCTTCTGGAAACATGTCCATGGTTACCCCAAGAATACTTAAGTGCTTTTTTTCCATTTTTCTCTAGTTCTATACACACAACACAAATAAAACAATTATCAAGTTATATCCTCATTGTGAATTTGCTTGTAGGACACTCTGCTAGACTGCAAACACTTGTGAATAGTGTTAATATATTTTCATCTATGAATAACCAGCACTTTGAACTGGGATGGGGGAGGGGGACAAATACTTATTGCTTCCTCTATGTTCCAGTTACAATACTAGGTGTTTTGCCTATTTAATTACAGTTATTACTGACAAAACTTTGGGTAAATATTCCAATCCTCGTTTTACTTTTTTTTATTTATGAGAGAGAAAGGAAGAGAGGAGGAGGAGCAGGGAGAGGGTGAGGGACAAGTAGACTCCATGCTGAGCAGGGAGACTGACATAGGCCTCGATCTCATGACCCTGAGATCATGACCTGAGCCAAAACCAAAAGTCGGATGCTTAACCAACTGAGCTACCCAGGTGCCCAATCCTCATTTTCTGAATAAGAAAAATGAGGCTGGATCTTAGAGCAGTACATGGCAACATCAAAGCCCAGCATTTAATTGTTAAATGACATGACAGTAGGGTTCTAGACAATGGCATCTGAAACCCAGATTTATCACCTAAGAGAAATCTCATTTTTTAAAAGCTGATTGTTGGAAGAAGCTATCAATGAGCATCTGAACAGAGGTTAATGAAGGAAACAAAGCTGGCCTGGAGAGTCCAGGAGAGGCCATTTCTAGAAATGCCCACCTGCATGGAGGGCAAGACAGGGTTCAGACAATTTCACTGTCCTCGAGGCCAGTGCAGGATGCTGGGCAATTGGGCCTAAAAGCAGAATGTTTTTCACCCTAAGGTAAAGGTTTGTGTGTATACACAGAACAACAATATACTTTTCTATTGCCATATTATTACTGATGAATGGCTAAACAAGTACCACAAGGCATTAGAGTAAATCCTTAAACATGAAACACCGAAAACAAAATAAACATTAACAACTGACCTAAAAGAAAATAAAAATATTTAGGTAAGAGCTAAATACATAAAAGTCAGAGACATTTATAAAGATAACCCCAATTTAAGAACAGGATGCTATGAAAGAGATACTCAATAAAAATGAAAGTATTCCATATATATATATATATAAGATTCTCATTTTCTCTCCCTCTCTTTGCTCCTCTCCCCTAAAGGAAACACATGGAAAAGAAGGCTGGTTGATAAAAAGAAGAAAAATCAAAGATACAAAAAATACTAGTGATAGTATAGGATACAATGAACAGGTTCAATATCCAACAACTACAGGTTAGCAAATGAGAAATGAGAAAATGGATGGGAGAGAATTATGAAAGAAATAATTTAATTTTCCAGGGCTTATGAAAAACAACTTCATAGTTAAAGGAATCACTGTGTACCCAAATGGTGTATAAAAAAACACCCTCCTTGATGCATTCTGGAACAGTATCAGAACACAATGGAAGATCCTAAAAACTTCTAGAGGTGTTGGAAAACAGAATTATAGTAGACTTTCTCATCACAAATACTGAATACTATGAGGCAGGGGAACAATTATCCTAAGAGTTATGAGGAAAAAATCTTTTCAACTTAGCATAATAAATGAAGCAAAATATAAATCAAGGGTAAGGGTAGTAAAAAGACATGCTTAAAAATGAAAAATCTTGGAAAATTTACCTCTCATATTTTTTATTACGTTTCATAAGGATTTCTAAGTAAATAAGTAAGTAGATTAAGAAAGAGAAAGATACTAGTTTCTATCCAAAAAGAAATAAAAAATGTCCAATATTGGGGTGCCTGGGTGGCTCAGGGGGTTAAGCAACTGCCTTCGGCTCAGGTCATGATCCCGGGGTCCTGGGATCGAGCCCTGCATTGGTCTCCCTGCTCAGCAGGGAGTCTGCTTTTCTTTCCCTCTGCCTTTCCCCCAACTCATGCTATCTCTCTCTCTCTCTCTCAAATGAATAAATAAAATCCTAAAAAAAAATGTCCACATTTACATCTCTTCAATCGGTCTGGAAAGCAATCAGTCCAATTAGGAGGAAAAGGCAAAGTGCTCTAGCAATGGTATACTTGAAGGAAAGAGACATCAAGGACTGTATGCACTTCTTTAGAATTTATTGATTTTCTCAATTTAAAAAAGGAGTCAAAAGATACTTTTTATACTGATGGTGTAAGAAACATTTATAAAATAGATTTTCACTCCTGGAAAAGTACTAAGTAGAAGATAAAACTGGTGATGTTTGGAGGGAGGGCAATCAATCTGGAGAAGTAAACTACATCATGAAATACTATAGCTATACATCAACAGATTATTTCTGAAGTTGATATAACCAAAATAGTGGCAAAGATAATATAGATTATTTCAATTTTGGGGGTAACCACTGGAAGAACTAAAATGAGACATAAATGAAGGAGTGAAAAGTAGGTGGCTCAAGAAATGGATTTCTAGAGACAGATTTGAGGGGAGAGGGACTTGTTTTCATTTTAAACTCCTCTGCATATTTGGACTTGTTAAGCATGTATAAGTTAAATTTTGATTAAAAAAAAGATAAGTTGAAAACAAGAATATAGGTACATGTGTAATATGGTCAAAATATGAATATATGTACTCATGATTACATGTATGAGTAGGTATACATGAATATATGGTCAATTAATGTTCACATGGCATGTATCAAAACCTCAAGAAGCTAATATTTATAAATATGTCTATATTTATATAGACTATAAGTGGTGCAATGGTGTATAAAGAGTAAAATAGGCACACTGCTGAGAAGTTAATAGGAAGTAGCCTACTGGGTTCACCCAAGTGAAATATTCTCACAAACCAGCTCCTGGAGAAGCAAAAAATGATACAATTACATGTCATGAATCTTCAGGATTGCTTACAAATAGTCAAAGCCACATTTTATTGAATGCCAAGGGCTTTGTATGCATGTGATACACACACAAACACACAATATGTACAGGTGTCAACTGAATAAAAGTGCCAACGATGGATTTAGATTGGCTGGTTTTGAATCACCGCTTGACCATTTAATAGCAGGGAAAATTGGGCAAATGATTTAATGTCTCTGCTCAGTGTCTTCTTTTGGAAAATGAGGACACTAATATGGCTGTTAGGATGATTAAATATGAAAAGGTACACAAAGTGCATGTATGTAGCAAATATTTAATAAGCATTAAGTGTTTTAATATTTACATATAATGCATTTATTTTGTAAATATTTAACTAGCCATATGCTATAATAAACATACTTGTGCATATAAAAAGACTAGAAGGAAATGAACTGATGAATTAAATGTGCTTATCTGATGGGGTTCTAGGTGATTTTGTTTCTTCTTTATACTTTTCTGTAACAAACTTATAATGATGTACAGGTTTTACATTTATAATAAAGACTATAAATGTTAATTTTGTTAACTGAAATGTGATATTAAGCTAAAATATCAGAGGTTTAATGTGATCGTTAGGAAATATTTCCACTTAACGAGAGCTCTGAAATACTGGAAAAGGTTATTGGGTTTACGAGTAAATAAAAGCAGAGAGAAACGTAAGTCCTTTTCACTTGTATCAACCTATTTGAAAGGCAGAGAACAGATCTCAATTATCAAAGTCCTGTGGGAAGAAAAATGGGACTGTGACAATGTTCAAATGAACGTGTATTACTAAAGTTGTGTTTTAAAACAGACATGTAATAAGTATAACTTAGAAAATGGGTGGGTTGTTTTTACCAAGAGTTTTATTCTAATCATTTAATTTATAATATAGAAACAGGGGAATGGAGAATTGTTTTTCTCATACTCAGTTCAATCTGGATGTAGTACCAACCACAAATATTCAGAATTTATAAATTATATACTCCTTAGCATGAAGAAGTAACTGAAGAAAACAAACACAGGCTAATGACACAAACCAAGGGCACTGTTATAACTGGGTTTCTTGGTATTTTAAATACAATTAAAATGGCCCTGATTTCCAATTATTTCTGCATTTGATATGCTAGAAGTAATAATAATTACAATGTGAAGAGTAACTCAAGTTAATGTATAGTTAAAAACTAAAAAGATAACCAGGTGAAGTAACTTTAGTAGTTATAATCTGTCACTTGGTACTGGGAAAAAAACAATTGAATGCAAAGGCAATGACTAAAATTCAAGCTGGCTGAAGTCAATTAGTGGTTATTAAATTTGTGAACCCCAGTGATATTAACATAGCTGTCCTCTTAACATCCTTGTATTTTGTAATAAGAATATTTGCCATCGTTAAAACCACTGACATATCTAATAGGATTTGTTGATCTGGAAAGAGTCATATATTATGCTCATGTTTAATTTCTCAAGACTAATTTCTGGGGGTTTCATTTGTACTTTATTTTTGAAAGTAGGACAGTAGTAGAAACATTAAACAAAAGCATCATGAGAACAGAATCATATAGAAATGAAACTTTAAAGAAAATCACTATAATTTGGGAGCATATATATATATATATATATATATGCTTATATTTCTCTATGCATCTATCCACACATACGAACACAATGACAATGAAGGGATAGAGAAAAACGGCAACACTGAGGGTATCTTTAAGGTAAGATTATCAGTCTTTCACTTTTTTTGTTCTTTGTACTTTTATAGTCTCTAAATTTTCTACAATGAGCACATTGCTCAGAAACTATATATAACATATAAACAGAATGACATATAATAACATTATATATATATGATATATATAACCTATATAAAGTCTACACACTGGTTTGAGTTTCCTAAGGGAAACCGAACTACAGTACATAAACAAAAAACTTATAGTCTAATCTCTATGGCCCATATGCATGCAAAATAAACTAAAATTAAAAGCATAAATAAGCAACTGTTTTATGTTGTTAGAATTATTTTAACAAAATTGGTGAGGAATCTCAGCAACATATACACACTTTGTCTGAGTGATGATCTTTTCATTATATGTATACCAGTTAAAAACAAATCCAGGCCACTCTTTTATAATTATAATACACATTAAATATCTAGGGTTGATATTTTCAGTGAAATAAAATTTAAAAGAAAAGAACACTTACTTTGGAGATATTGTCACAATGTTCCCTGTTTGGGAAAGGGAGAAGTCAGAGGCATCTTTTCCAACAATTACAGCATTATACACTAAGTTTTTCAAGCTTGGATTTTTCAGTAGAATCTATATTGAAGAAGAGAGTATACATAAGATCATGAATTTTAAAAATATATAATTTAGCACTTATTTTCATCAAAGCAAGTTATACATTTTAATCATGAAAATATTTCTAATGTGCACTAACTGGAAGAAAGCAGACTTTGTATTTAAAGATAACATAAATATATAGTTTAGCAGAATAAGCAAGGAGAAGGAGCTTTCAAGCTTTCAAGAAAGGAAATGACAGATGTAAAAACACCTGATTATCAAAGATTTAAAATCCAAAGTTAGCAACTTGGATTTTATTCTTACTGCAAAGGGAAATCTTTGGAGAATTTTAAACAGAGAATTTATATAATCCAATTTACAAAAAGGATACTCAGTCTGCTCAGTATAGAAAGATTTATAAGGAGTGTACTTTTAAAAACACAGGCCCAGGCTGAAAATGATGGTGGCCTTGACTTGAAGCAGTAGTATAACAAGGGCCTGGCTGTCCCTTCCTTCCTGATGCCAAGATAGGGAGGGTATGTGAAGACAAGTTACTTCATTTTTAGAGAGAATATTTCATGGTAACTGTGAATATCCAAGGGTGTATATAGAATATAATGTGGATTAAAAAAAAAAACACCCCAAAAAACAGACACACTGGAAAGACTCCAGGTTATCATGGAAAGTACTGACTCAGACGAGAAAGATGACCTGGGGGAAATGCATGACTGGCCAAATTAGAGTGACAACAAGGTGAGTGCAACTTACGCAGCCCAGGAAGTATAGTCACAGATTTCTGAAGAATTAACAATTAGCACCATGTGTGATTAGAGTGACTTATAGTGATTATGGTGACTTGTACAGAATATGGTAGATTTGTTAAAGATTAAATTAACTAGGGGCACCTGGGTGGCTCAGTCAGTTAAGTGTCCAACTCTTGGTTTTGGCTCAGGTCGTGATCTTAGGATTGTGAGATCAAGCCCTGCATCAGGCTCCACACTCAGCACGGAGTGTGCTTGAGATTCTCTGCCTCTCCCTGTCCATCCCACCCTCCCCCAGCTCTGTCTCTCTCTCTCTCTCTCTAAAATAAAAAGAAAATCTTAAAAAAATAAATAAAAAATTAACTAGTTTTGTTTCGATTAGAATTTTTGTTAACTACCAGGAGAAGTACATTGTTGCTGAAGAGTTTCTTCTATCTTTGGTTACACCAAGGAATTGGGGTTCTCATGTTGCTTACCTATGTATAATATCAGTTATAATGGAGGCAAGACAAACCCAGTGTGGTTTTTTTTTATTTTTTATGTATGTACGTATGAATTTGAAGTATTAATGAATAGACCAAGTAATTTTAAGTTCCAGAGAACTAATTTCTGTTTCTGAAAGGAAATGTAGAAAAATCATGAGGATTCCCTGTGAGCTGCTACTGATTTTTAGTCCTGGAACATCCCTAACCAGCCCTGAGATCTTAAGGAAGCCACTCATTCTCATTATGTCATATCCTATATATGACACAAAGGCACTGGGCTCACCTGTGGTCAGCTTATTCCACCCAGGATTTCACGTTGGGGTGGTTAAGTGGTAAATGGGGACAAAGGAAATCTGTTCAAGGAGCCTCAATTCCCCTTTTGCACCTTTTGCAAGATAGCTTATCTTTCACTATTTAATAGTTATCTTTAACTACTGTGCTTCTGTGTAAATTCTGCTTCAAAAAGGGAGAAGAAAAGTTCAACTGCATTTAAAAATGTCTCAAAAAAAAATGTCTCAGAAAATCACACACTCTATATTTTTTTTAATGATCACTCTATTTTTTACTGGTTCCAGGATTCTATGTTTCTATTACTGACATATAGTTGCACAAATACTTCTTCAATTCTAGTAGCCATTTCTTGAGATTCTTTTTTATTCTAGAGTGATGAAAATGTTGGTAAAAATGATATTCAATGACTTAAGCACTGTCATTTATGGTGTTGACGCATAGGGGCAAACTATGCCAAATGTTCTCAGCAATTTCCAAATCAGTGATTTTTCTTAAATGAAATTTAAAACTAAAGCTTGTTATAACTGACATTTTCTTGCATTCAAATTTAATTTTTGTTATCGTCAAAAGACATACTCTACATTTGTGAAAAATCAAAGTTATATTTGTAGAATTTCATCTATAATCTTTTTTTCCCCCTTTTTTCTTTCTTAGTAGGCTAAATGCCCTACGTGGGGCTTGAACTCAAGACCCAAAGATAAAGAGTCAGATGTTCTACCTACTGAGCCAGGTAGGCATCCCTCATCTGTAATCTTAAAATACAAACATTATTTCTAGTAAACAGCTAAATGTGGAAAGAACTATTTCCATTTTAATATGCTTTAATTTGATTTTTAACATCACAATTAAAATTTATATTTCAACATTAGTGTTGTTAACTACTTTTAAAAAATAGTGGCAATTAAATGGCATAAAGAAATACAAACACATGGACAGAATTAGAGCACTGGAATTAAAACTAACTGTAATAAATCACTGCTTAATCTAATTCAGACTCATCCTAGACTCTGCGGGCTTAATCAAAACATTTCTAACTCTTTAGAAATTTTATTTTGAAGTCAAAAGACCTCTCCAATGTAATTACAGCTCCAGGCTTCGAGGATCATTTGCAGTTAGGGAATTATCAGAGTAAATACTGTTGAAAAAAATCTTCTAAAGAGTTTTATATCTTTTTTTCCTGATAAAAAGAAAAAAAATTCATAAAAAGGAATCATATCTAAATTACCCTAAACTGAGCCCTTTACATGTTGAGACAAGAACCTGCATTCTCCCTGATTTTTAACTGAATCCTTACCAATCATCACTCATATCATCACAGAGGCTATGTATTTTCTCAGAGGTTACAATTACAAGTCAAAAATCACCAAGACATATCTTCTGAAGAGCAAATATGGACAAGTTCTGCATCGAATGTATAAAATTACACCCTCCCAACTAAATATGAGGAGGAATACATAAAACAGCCTGAGGAAAAGGAATAAACATGATCTGACCAAAGAGATAAAGTAATTTTTGTAGGAAATAAGATTCTACCAGTCCATAGTGTCCTCAGAAAGAAACAAGGAGAAACCTATAAATCTGGTTGAAGATTTTGTGAAAACTAGTAGAAGGGACAATCTTAAATAAACATAAGCAATTTAAAACTGTATGCTAGAAGATATTTCACAAGTGTAAGCTTGAAAAACAAATTGAGGTCAATGACCCTTGACAATATATTTCTCAAAGAGAATACTTCATAAATATGGACATATTTATACAGATTTGTTGTCACAGGATTTCAAATTTCATTTTTTATTTTTTTTCTGCAAATTAAAAAATCCACCGTTACACATTTAGCAGCTCTTGGGTATATAATATCCTTTAGTGGGAATTAGGTGGCCCTGGTCAGGAACACTTTCATTTTTATTTCCCTTTATATATCCTCATCTGAATAAAATTCATCTGGATGTGTAAACCGCTCCCTTAAGCAAAGCTGAGTACATTCAGAACACAAGTTTGCACTTATGGTCTCAGTCCCTTTGCATATGAAATGGGTCTCAAGTATCCTCAGAAAATTTGCCCTTCAAAGTGCCTAACTTTCATTTTCCACCTCCCCAAACCCCATTCATCAAATGAATCACGGAATCATCATTTCACTGCAGGTGATGGTTACTATTAAGCAAAAATTGTCCCTTTCACTCGGTTAAACCTTCTTCTTTAGAAGAAGCAATATTTGCTAAGGCTTATTTTTTTTAAGTTTATTTATTTATTTTTTAGTAATCTCTACACCCAAGGTGGGGCTTGAACTCACAGCCCTGAGATCAAGAGTCACATGCTCTTCCGACTAAGCCAGTCAGGTGCCCCAAGATGGCAAACATTTTTATGGGTGCTAAAATGAACTATCAAAACATCATTCATTTTCTGCCAAGCCCCCTCCTTTTTTGTGTTTTTTTTTTCATTTAAATTCAATTAATTAACATATAATGTATTATTAGTTTCAGAGGTAGAGGTCAGGGATTCATCAGTCTTATATAATACCCAGTGCCCATTTCATCACATGCCCTCCTTAATGTCCATCATCGAGTCACCCCCCCCCACCTCTCTCCCCTCTCCTGAAGCAACCCTCAGTTTGCTTCCTATGATTAAGAGTCTCTTACGGTTTGTCTCCCTCTCTGATTTCATCTTATTTTATTTTTCCCTCTCTTCCCCTATTATCTTCTGTTTTGTTTCTTAAATTCCACATATGAGTGAGATCATATGATAATTGTCTTTCTCTGACTGACTTATTTTGCTTAGCATAGTACCCTCTAGCTCCATCCACATCATTGCATAAATGGCAAGATTTCATTTTTTTTGATGGCTGAGTAGTTTTCCAGTGTGTGTGTGTGTGTGTGTGTGTGTGTGTGTGTGTGTATACCACATCTTCTTTATCTGTTCATCTGTCGATGGACATCTCAGCTCTTTCCATAGTTTGGCTATTATGGACATTGCTGCTATAAATAGCTAAGGCTTAATATATCATATTGATACTTCTGTTAATTTTGGGTTAGAAAAGAAATAACTAAAACCCCTGTGAAGTGTTTCACTCCAAATATATCCTTACCTGTCTCAGCACAGTGTCATGTAGAGTACAATGAAAGGGCACCACCTTCTTGGGGAGATATGTAGGGAGCCTTTCATACATGTAGACACAAAGCATGAGCATCAGGATTGGATTAGGGTCACAGATATCCGTGGCCTAGTTTCAATGAAAAGAAATATAAATTAGAGGATATACAGATAAAATATATAAAAAGAGCGAAAGCATAGTACATCAATCGTTGAATTACATTAAAACATTTTAAAATGTTACTGGCATTGACCCTGAGTTGTAAACACAGTAAACAGAATGTTGCTGTGAATCAGAAGAGCTTGACCTGGGTGTTAAAAGATGAATTAGATGTGTTCTCAGTATAACAGTGACCTCACAACCTCAAAGCCTCCACAAAAGCTAGTCAGAGGTCATAAAAATATTATGCACTAGAAATACTGACTAACGTCACTAAGACACCACCCCTGATTTACAGTCCCATAATCAGCAGTAAAAGAAAACAGAGAAGCAAACAAAGTACTGAGGTAAAAAGAAGGCAAGAATTTCAAGCAAAAGCTCAAGGGAGAAGGCAACACATGAGACGGCCTTGAAGAATGCTCGGGTCTCAAAGAGACTGTGTTTGGGGGGCAGAAAAGGGTGTATTCCATCAGAAAGGCAAAGAACTACAGCACAAGGATATAGGGAGGTACAGTGTTTATTCGTTAAAGAAGTACAATTTGAATCATATGTAAGGTAAGAAGGGACAAGCACTGTGGGAACAGACAAAGGAGCGCCAGGGCCACACTGTGGAGGGTGTGGATGCCAGGATGAGGGCCCTGATTTCTGAACAAGGAATAACACAAGAGCAACAATTCAGGCAGATCAGGCAGCGGGGTGGTTAGGGAGTACTCTTCCCAGAACAGACAAAATATAGTAAGTCAGAAAATGTAATCATACTGATAACCAAGATAAATTAGTGATGGCTGTTGGAAAAGATTTGAGATAAAAGCCAGAATTGCAAAAGAATAATGGCAGGGACAATCAACATAGCCTGAATGTACACTGAATACAACAAGTAGAGTCAGGAGAAGAAGGAAGGATTCTTTGTATCAGTTCCTATACTACCTATGATGTCCTAGAAAAATGTAAAGGTAGTAGGCGAGAATTATTCATAGCAAAGGAGTATTGAGAATGGTCCAAGGCAAGGATTCAAAGACATAAAACACCACTGATAGACACACACCTCTGTCATTGTCGATGTACAGGGAGCCCTACACTTCCATAAAATGAAGATCTACCTATGACTTAATAGCTCACATTCAAGTTAGTAACCGAAAATGATCCAGGCCTGGCTTGGAAGTGCAAATAGTGTGGGAGCCAAGGAGACTTAATGCGTTATGTGGAGCTAGCACACTTGACTCTGAAGTTCAGCAACAGTTACCAGCAAATAAAAACAGCTCCTCTGATCATCTGCTAGTTCACATTCCCAAATACATTCTTTTCCTCCTTTGGAAGAAGAGAAGAGTTTGTTCTTTCTTGTTTTGTCAATAAGCAGTAAGACTAACCAATAAAGGCGCCTGGGGAGGAGATTTTTAGTAAAAAATAAGGGAGCTGGCCTTCCACAGCAGGGTAGAAAGCTGCTAGTGAGTTCGATTTGAGGAAAACTGAGAAATACACCAAGACTCCAAAGTTTCTCATCAGTATTCGGTGGTCGTACATTTCTACATGAAAGACAGTGTTAGTCAACATATGAAGGAAAATTATTTAAGATAAGAACAAACTAAAAAAATAAATGCAGAGTTTAATTCCAACAAAGTGAAGAATATGGCTCTACTGGGCCCTCTGGGATGGGCCTGCCTATGAGTGTGATTCAAAGAGGGCTGTGGGGCACATGGGTGGCTGTCACTTAAGTGTCCGCCTCTTGATTTTGGCTTAGGTCATGATCTTCAGGGTTGGGTTCCGCACTCAGCGGGGAGTCTGCTGGAGATTCTCTTTCTCCAGCTCCCTCTACCCCTCCCCCACCTCCACACGCGTGGGTGCACGCGCACACTCTCTCTCTCAAATAAATAAATAAATCTTTTTTTTTTTTTTTTAAAGAAGTCTGTCTACGGTAATGGGAAATGTGTTTGTTGGGGAAAGGGTAAGACTAGTGGCAGAACACCCTAGGCTCAAGTCTGAGTTCAATAAGACACTTTTGAACACTTTTTAAATGACTACAGCATAAAATATATATTGGTAACAATATAGAATTAGTCCCAATACTCATCTTTGAAAAATATATAATGGGATGAAAATGCAATAATTTGGAAATTAAAAAAATGTTTATCTTAATGGGAAAAATACATTTGATTAAGATATTAGACTAAAAAAAAGAGAAAAGAGCATCCTTACTTTTCCTTATCATAAATTTCAATGAAGATAACCAAAAGCAATTACACTTTTGTCAATCCTTGACTTAAAAATCCAAATGTTAGCATAGGTTTGTTTCTTTTTATTATTATTATTATTTTAAGTTAAGTTTGTTTAAAACAAGACTTTCATGTGAAATATCTTTCAAAGATATAATCATTACTTTCTCTATACAGGTCTAACCTAGAAGAACTTCAACTGTATTGGTCCATTTTTCCCCCACAATGATACTATTTTTCAACTAGCCTAATAAAAGACAAAAAATTAAACAGAAAAAGGTCATAATAGAGAAAAATGCTAGAGTAGAAATCTGGTAAACAAAATTCAAGTCCTGCTACTACACAGTGCCACGATCTTTACTAATCAATTGGTTTTCCAAGGCCTCAGTTTTTTCATCAGTAACAAGAAGAGGTGAAATAATATCGACTTTCATGGAGAATTTAATTTGCTATGACTAAAAGATATCACCAGCTTTCATATTGGACACCAAACATAATGAGCAGTACCAACTGACATACCGTAATTCTAGAGAGAACACTGTTGATTACCTTCCCCAAAGCAATTTTCTTTGTTCTTCTTCCCTAAGAATCCCAATTTTTGTGGCTGTTTCATTACTTTGATCAAACAATGGTTTATCTACAAGCATGGAATGTAATTATGGTCAATGACATGTAATGGGAAATATGCTGTGAACCATTGGAAAAGGTTTATCTTATGGAAAATGAGAAGTGCAAGATGAGGAGCTACTCAACCAGCCTCAAGAGTAACTATATAAAGATGTTACATGAGAATTTCAGTAGAAACTTTGTGGTTATTAGTGCACATGCCTAAAGTAAAGCCAGCAGGCTGAGAAAGGCTGAGCAAAAATGAATCTCTAACTTTATTGAGCAACTGACTATGCTTATAATCTCCTAATGCCTGACTTTGTCTAATGTAAAATATTGTATTTATTTTTAAAGCACTTTCACTCGTGAATTGTTATTTAATGCTAAAAAGCATCAAAGGTGATAAAAACAACTTTTTTTGTTTTGTTTTTGAGAGGGAGAGAGAGAGGAGGGGCAGGGGGAGAGAGAGAATCTCAAGCAGGCTCCATGCCGAGCACTTGAGCCCGACAAGGGGCTGGATCCCACAGCCCTGAAATCATGATATGAGTCAGATGCTAAACAGACTGAGCCACCCAGGAGCCCCAAAAACAAAAGTTTTAAGCGAAAAGTCAGATTATCTATTGAACCTTAGCTGCCATCACTACTCAGTGAATTAGGTGTAGTACAACCTCTACAAATGTCATATTTATTTTTATATACATTTCTTTACGTGAGAGAATAAAAATACATTCTATGCTGAGTCCAAATAATTCCCATCATATTTTTCTTTAAATATAAAGTATGTCACAAAAGAGAGAAGATGTAAACAACTGTTATATTCCAGATGGCAAGATTCCACAACAGGACATAATAAAGGCACAGAAACTTATCTAGCTGATTCCACAGTTCAAAGAAGAATATAATAAGTAAGAAACTTAAACATTAATAAACATATCCAGTGGTGAATTTCTTTGGTTTTAAATGTGAACCAGTGCTAAGCATCAGCATTAATTGACTATGGCTAAGTTAATTTAATATTTTTGAACTTTGCCATTTAATGTGGTTGGTAAATCCAGGTTGATAAAAAAAGTTAAGGAATTGGAACTGGTTAGTAAAAGCTTGGTAACTATTAGCTAGCTGTCAATTTCTCCATTCACCAGATCTTAGACACCTTCTCTACATTTTTATGTATTAGATACTCACATTTAAAAATATTTTTTGGCTACAGAATAAAATAAAAATTTTGAGTCAACAATGTATGATGATTTATGTTCTCTAAACAAAACTATTTTAAGTTTCTTATAAACCCCGACCAAATTCTCAGGGGCCACCTTGAACACCAAAAGTCCCATGTTACTCTTCTTGGTTCCCTTACCAGAATGATTTCTGTTCCTTTTGATTCCCATAGCACACTGCTTCTATGTATACTATGGCATTCACTATCAGCTTTGCATCAGATCTTTTTCTTATACTTGTCATTATTAATAACATCTTTGAAGGCATGATTGTGGTTTAATCATATCTGTACCCCTTACAGGGTCTATCCAGTGTCTTTTATGGAGGATATTCAATTTGTTGAATTGATGAGAACTGTAGTATTTTTATTCTTCCAAACCAAAGTCTTTCATTGAAGTTTATCTTTAAAACTCTCTTATAAAAGAAATTTCTGGCCAAAATCCTAGAATACAGTTTCTCTTTACAACTATACCAATATAAAAGAATGTAAATGTCAGACCTGAAACAAAGTGATGTTAACATGCAACCAAGCCATTATGAACTATTTTTCCAGCAGGTGTGAGGAACAACTTTATACCAAGCCAGATATGGGCAATGGCATCATCAATATCTCTCGTGTCATGGAAAAGAAAACTCAGAGTAAGTTGAAATGGTCTTTCTCCTGTGTCCTTCTTTTGTGACTGTTCACAAGGTCTAGTAAACCTCAGATGTCTCCTGTATCAACTTATTATTTTAAGTTTCCATTCAAATGACATGAGTAGAGAAAATACTTTCCTCCTTGACCAACTGAAATTATATTTTGATTGGTCTGTGTTCCCTGTCTCCAGTCCCTCTCCTGTGAGTCCATTCCCATCATAGTTGTAAGAACAAATACCTTTTGTGCAGTTGCTATAAAAAAAAAAAAAAAGAACAAATACCTTCAGTCCTCTAATACCCAGATGGTAAGCTTCTTACTTTTTATACTGATATCCAATATCCCAATATATACCTATATCAATTTTTCTAATCCCAAAATTCAACTAAGGTAACCTAGTCACAGAATTTCCTTTCTGTATGTCATGCATTCCATTTGACATTCTGTTTATGCCATTTCCTCTGAGTGAACACTTTCCTCTCTTACCACTACCAATCCAAATCCAATCCACCTTCAAGACTCCAAATAAGTCCTGCCTTCTCCGCAAAGTCTTTGGTGGATCAATCTAGATCATATTGATCTCTTCCCTTATCTGAATTCTGTACTTTGTTTTTTACATACACTGACAATTACATGAGTAAAATGTTACTTATCATTGAACATGAATATATCTTGATAATTCAATGATTTTGTATATTCTTCAAAGTAAGAAATCATTTTTTTTTAAAGATTATTTATTTGAGAGAGAGAGAGAGAGACCGACCATGAGTGGGGTGGGGGGCAGGGAGGGACAAAGGAAGAGGGAGAGAGAAACAAACTTAAGCAGACTCCATGCTGAGTGCAAAGCTCAATGCAGGGCTCTATCTCACCACAGGGATCATAACCTGAGCCGAAACCAAGTAGGACTCTCAACCAACTGCACCACCCAGGAACCCCAAGAAATCATTTATTATACTACTTCATTACTCTAACAAAGGGCTCAAAAAATAGTAAGCATATAATGTGTTTCATTATTGCTACATAATAGTATAGATATATACTATATAATAGGATTTGGTTATTATTGAGGACTTGATGTGAAAGGACAGATGGAATTATAACATGGGGATCCAAATGTAATAATGTATATTGCCATTCTGATCTCTACATGAATATGTATTTTAAAACGAAAGTGAAAAAAAGTCTTTTTAGCTACTAAATTAAAAAATGATAATACATCTATATTCAAATAAATCTCCTTTAATTCATTCTTAGAGCTTGGGTAGTGCTACTAAATCATTCAAGCTTCATTCTCAGGGTTTAAGAAAAATGGACAAATCACTAGAACTATTTTCTTATGCACAGTTGGATATACACAATTATACATATGTAGAAATATACAGATTTCTATGAAGTCATATTTCAAATTCCACATTTTAGTAATACCCTACAAAAAGATGGTTTCAATTTAGATTTAAAATATATGAACAAAAGATTATTAAAAGGAGTCAACTAACATTTTTACAAAGAAAACATACAATTGGCCAACAGGTCCATGAAAAGGTGTTCAACATCACTAACCATGAGGGAAATGTAAATCAAAACCACAATGAGATATTACGTCACACCTATTATATAAAAGAGGAGAGATAAAGTGTTGGCAAGGATGTAGAGAAGGGGAAATTTTTGTATGTTGTTGGTGGAAATGTGCCTTGTTATATTAAAGAGAGGAGAGATAACTATTATTAAATAGAGGAGAGATAAAGTGTTGGCAAGAATGTAGAGAAAGGGGAATTTTTGTATGTGTTTTGTTGGTGGAAATCTGCCTTGTTATAGCCATAATGGAAAACAGTATGGGGGTCCTCTAAAAGTTTAGAACTACCATATGGTCCAGCGTCCCTACTTCTGGGTATATATCCAAAGGAAATGAAACCAGCATCTCAGAAATATTTGCACTTCCATGTTCAACTGCAGCATTATTCACAATAGCGAACATATGGAAAAACCTGTCTGTCAATGTAGGAATGCATAAAAAAAATGTGGCATACAGTGAATATCATTCTCAATGTGGAAAAACTAAGAGATTGTCCCTTCAGGTCAGGAACACAACAGGGATGCCCACTCTCACCACTAGGTTCAACATAGTACTAGAAGTCCTAGCCTCAGCAATCAGACAACAAAAAGAAATAAAAGGCATTCAAACTGGCAAAGAAGTCAAACTCCCTCTCTTCGCAGATGAATGATACTTTACGTAGAAAACCCAAAAGACTCCACCCTAAAATTGCTAGAACTCACACTGCAATTCAGCAACATGGCAAGATAAAAAATCAATGCACAGAAATCAGTTGTATTTTATACACTAACAACGTGACTGAAAAAAAGAGGAAATTAAGGAATCAATCCCATTTACAATTGCACCAAAAACCCTAAGATATCTAGGAAGAAACCTAACTAAAAAGGTAAAGGATCTGTACTCTAGAAACTATAGACCACTTATGAAAGAAATTGAGGAAGACACAAAGGGATGGAAAAATATTCCATGCTCATGGATTGGAAGAATAAACACTGTTAAAATGTCTATGCTGCCCAGAACAATCTACACATTCAGTGCAATCCCTAACAAAATACCATCGACATTTTTCACAGAGCTGGAACAAACAATCCCAAAATTTGTATGGAACCAGAAAAGACCCCGAATCACCAGGGGAATGTTGAAAAAGAAAACCCAAACTGGGGGCATCATAATGCCTGACTTCAAGCTATATTACAAAGCTGTGATCATCAAGACAGCATGGTACAGGTACAAAAACAGACACATAGATCAATGGAACAGAACAGAGACCCCAGAAATGGACCCTCAACTCTATGGTCAACTAATCTTCGATAAAGCAGGAAAGAATATCCATTGGAAAAAAGACAGTCATTTCAACAAATTGTGCAAGGAAAATTGGACAGCCACATGCAAAAGAATGAAACTGGAGCATTCCCTTACATCATACACAAAGATAAACTCAAAATGAATGAAAGACCTAAATGTGAGTCAGGAATCCATCAAAACCCTAGAGAAGAACACAGTTAGTAACCTCTTTGACCTCGGCCACAGCAAGTTTTGGCAAGACATGTCTCCAAAGGCAAGGGGAAGAAAAGCAAAAATGAATTATTGGGACTTCATAAAGATAAAAAGCTTCTGCATGACAAAGGAAACAGTCAACAAAACTAAAAGGCAACCTACGGAATGGGAGAAGATATTTGCAAATGACACTACAGATAACGGGCTGGTATCCAAGATCTATAAAGAACTTCTCAAACTCAACACCCAAAAAACAAATAATCCAGTCAAGAAATGGGCAGAAGACATGAACAGACACTTCTCTAAAGAAGACATACAAATGGCCAACCGACACATGAAAAAATGCTCCAGATCACTTGCCATCAGGGAAATACAAATCAAAACCACAATGAGATACCACCTCACACCAGTTAGAATGGCTCATATTAACAACACAGGGAACAACAAATGTTGGCGAGGATGTGGAGAAAGGGGAACCCTCTTACGCTCTTGGTGGGAATGCAAGCTGGTACAGCCACTCTGGAAAACAGTATGGGGGTTCCTCAAGACATTAATAATAGAGCTACCCTATGACCCAGCAATTGCACTACTGGGTATTAACCCCAAAGATACAGATGTAGTGAAAAGAAGGGGCACCTGCACCCCTAGTGTTCATAGCAGCAATGTCCACAATATCCAAACTGGTGACGGAGCTGAGATGTCCTTCAACAGACAGATAAAGAAGATGTGGCTTACATATACAATGGAATATTACTCAGCCATCAGGAAGGATGAATACCTATCATTTGCATCAACATGGCTGGAGCTGGAGGGTATTATGCTAGGTGAAATAAGTCAATCAGGGAAAGACAATTATCATAAGGTTTCACTCATATTTGGAATATAAGGAATAGTGCAGAGGACCATAGGGGAAGGGAGGGAAAACTGAATGGTAAGAAATCAGAGAGGGATAAAGACCATGAGAGACTCTTGACTCCGGGAAACAAACTGAGGGTTGCAGAAGGGAGGTGGGTGAGGGGATGGGGTAACTGGGGGATGGGCATTAAGGAGGGCACATGATCTGATGAGCATTGGATGTTATACGTAACTAAGGAATCACTGAACACTACATCAAAAACGAATGATGTAGTATATGTTGGCTGACTGAATTTAAATAAAATAAAAGAAAAGAAAACATGATATATACTCACAATGGAATATTTAGTCATAAAAAAGAAAGAAATCCTGTTACTTTTGATAACATGGAAGAATCCAGAGGACATTATGCTAAGTAATATAAACCAGACACAGTAAGGCAAGTATTTTACAATTTCAATTGTATGTGGAATCTAAAAAAGTCAAACCCATGCAGTCTGAGAGTAGAATGATAGTTGCCCATGGAGTGGGATGGGGGAAATGAGGAGATGTTGGATCTTAAGTGTTCTCACCACACACACACAAACACAAAATGGTAACTATGTGAGGTGATGGGTGTGTTAATTACCTTGGCTCTGGTGATCATTTCACATTATATATGTATAATCATCACACTGTATACCTACAAAAATTACATTTTACAAACTAAATATATACAATTTTTATTTAACAATCATACCTGGTGAAGCTCGAAAAAATACGAAAAGAAGAAATTGATATTTATGGAATATGTGATATATAGCAATGCACCTGTATGTCCATGTCAAAGCCAATTTCTCGAAGTACATTCACAATAATCAGGCAATTGTGCAGATACTGTTCCGAACTTTTTGGGTGTGTGTACATTTTTTCGAAATGAGATTCAATCTGGAAAAGACAACAATCAAATCTTTTAGTAATGGAATAAAAATTACTGCTTTTCAACTCTTCTCTTTAGTTCGGCAAAGAATCATTTAAGTATTAACATCTGTCAGTAGTAGCTTATTACAATCAAAATACCGGAATAAACAGAAAGGGAATGCTGGCCATTCAGATTCAGGTGTGATTTAAATTAAAACATTGAAAAATATCAGTTTATAAAAAATACTGTGAATTTTAACTACTAAGTTCTTTCAAATAATAGAAGACTACACTTCATAAAAAAGACTCTTACCAAAAACGGACAATAGGCTCCCAACTGTGTTGCAAAAACAAGGCCATCTAAAAGATCTTTGTCAAAATTTAATATCCATCTCTCAGAGGGAATAACTCCTGTTCCAAAAAAGAGAGTAAATATAACATGTTTTACTTTTCTAAAAAAGATACCTTATGGTATCTGTCTGAATATATTCTGATATGGTCACTATATAATACAGAACGTACTTAAAATTGGCAGACATTATAGAAAAAAAAGCTTTCAAAATCATTCTCATTGTGGAGACATTTAGTGCCCAGTTCAAACAAAAAGGAAAACAGAACATGTGCCTGGCTTTATTTCCCTGGTTTTCAAGGAATCACTGATCCTTGATACGTTTTCTTCCAAAGTGACATACAAAAGAACGAAGAAATGATCTGAAATTTTCTATTCCGTCAAAAGGAAAATGAATTGATGGGGGGACAAAGCAAGATGGCAGAGGAGTAGGAGACCTGGATTTCATCCGGTCTCAGGAATTCAGCTGGATAGGGATCAAACCATTCTGAACACCTACGAGCTCAACAGGAGATCAAAGAAAAGAATAGCAATAACTCTCTGAACAGAAAAGCAATCACTTTCTGGAAGGTAGGATGTGCGCAGAAGTGAATCCGAGGCAATATTACGGAAGATAGACGGCGGGGGAGGGGGCCTCTATCTGCCGCTTCTGGCAAGTGATAGAGCCGTGGAGCACAAAATCGGAACTTTTAAAGAAGTCGGCTCTGCTGAGGGACGTCACTCCAGTGGCTAAGCGGGGGGTGGAACCCTCGCGGGACAGTGTGGTCTCAAGACCCTCAGGGTCACAGAAAGACCGGGGGTGCCTGAGTGCAGCAGAGCTCCCAGGTATCGGAGCGGGGAAGCCGGCTGCAGAAACGGAGCCGAGGCCTGGGCTCTCAGCTCGGGGTTGCCATAAACTGTGATCCGCGGCCCAGTCGGGCC